AGTAGTTCAGGTCCAAACCTTTCCCCCTTCAGTAACCAATGAACACATCTGGGAAGCCAAATCTTCTTAAGTGTTTTTGTTCAAAAGAAAATATATAATTTGCTTGTGTTTTCCTTTATTTAGTTGAATGTTGAGTCACGGTAAAGTTGGTCATGTTCTATTTATTCTGTAAAACCGAGATTTTCCACAACCAATCATGCAAATGCTTCACTTTAAATCATGGGTTTTCTTTACAGATGCGTAAAGGCTTCTTGAAAATTGGTCACTGAGTACAAAAAAAGCAGGAAAATACTAATCACCGATTAAAAAATCCAAGCCAACTGAGATGAAATATATATAGCTATTGATTTGAGTACATTTTACTCCCTAGCTTGCAGATATTGGAAGTATAGTTGATGACTCCATGTCTGATTTAATGTTTTCATTGTTGCTTATTGCAGTAATGAAACTTTTGGACAACAATAAAAACATGTGTTGGCAGTGATTGATAATCTAACGGATGGAAGTTTTGAATGATTATTTATTGTTTATACCATACAGAAATAATTGGAAAAAATTACTTCTTGAAACCAATCAAATAATCTTAGATACCACGTTATGTTTCGTGAACTATTGTAAAACATTTGATTTGTAAATGCAAAATCTGGTATGGTAATAATAAGCTATACTTAGTTACATTGCAGTGCATTTCTAAAGTGATGCAAGCTTGGCAGGTATTTTCTGACTTAATAACATCATTTCCTTCGGCCACAGAGATGTTCTGTCGTGCAGCAGGCCTTTTCCTCTGCACACTTCCTGTCATTTCCTCCAGCACAAAGCTGAACCCTCAGTGTAGTCATGTCAGCGTACAGTACAGCCTGCTTCATCTCCATCAGCGCTGTGACTCAGGCTCCTTTTTGTCTGTCTGCAAACACAAAGGTTGATGTCAGTAGAGACGGAGTGTTTCCTCCTGCACTCCATTGTCATGCCATGCCATGTTCCCATTAGCATGCATGACATGCAGGAATTCACTGGAGCACATTTGCATAAATTAGCCATCTCTTCCATAGAGGCGAAAGGCCGATGTAGAAGAGGAGCACTGGGTGAGGGAGGAGGGTGGAGAGGGAGGGTGTAGTATTGCTCAGCCTGTTAATGAAAGGCTGTTTGGCAGGCTCCCCAGAAATGTTATGCAAACTGTCCGGCTCTGTGATTGGCCGCTGCCTATAGTTTCCTGCCCTGTAATGGTATCTCATGTCCAGTCCAGACACAGATCGGTGCCCTCTTATCCTAAAATGGCCCCAATCTGTCCTGTTGATAATTTCTCTCTTTGTCTTCATTCATACACTAAGTGCTGCTAACAGCTGAAATGCTTCATGCATGCGGATAATGATCAGGCTCCTCTTCTTCCTTCTTTAACAGTTTCCTAAGCTCTGGCTGTCTCCCTCCCTCTTTGATTTTCTTCTGTGCTCTGTCCATCCTCCCTCATATTCACCCCCCCCACCCTGCGTCTCTCATGTTATGCTTTCCTTCATTAGGCTGCTGTGCTGGTTATAACAGTGGAGTAATCACATATGGTGCAGAGCACACATAAAGATCCCTCCCGCAGACAGCAGCTGCTGATACTAGCTGAAAATAGATCCCTGGTACGCTCAGCACTTTCTCTCCAGCAGCTTTACTGTTTATCAGCAGCTCTGGACCCAGACTCATTTAAGCTGCTCTGCCTCACCATTACAGTGTGTGTGTGTGTGTGTGTGTGTGTGTGTGTGTGTGTGTGTGTGTGTGTGTGTGTGTGTGTGTGTGTGTGTGTGTGTGTGTGTGTGTGTGTGTGTGTGCGCGCGCGTGCGTGTGTGTGTGTGTGTGTGTGTGTGTGTGTGTGTGTGTGTGTGTGTGTGTGTGTGTGCTGCAGCATTAGTAGTAGGGGATGTGCTGCTCTCATCAGTAGAGCGGATAGAGCACTCAGAGCCTCTACCCTCACCCCCAATCCCTCACACACTCTCACCCACCCACTTACCTTAGCGCACACACACATACACGTACACAACTACACACACACCATCCCCCTCACAGATATGGAGTCAGCAGCTTTCTCTTAACAATGACTGATATGGTTGCTGCTGTTGGACTGTCTGTTACGCAGGGCGCACTGCAAGGTGCTTTACACCAGAGGCATGCTGGGAGCTGCAGCATGTGGATGCTCTGTTAACACAAGAAAGATGGAGGAGCACTGCCTACATTTGCAAAAATACAGAAATATCTTGTACGCATCACACATTACACACTGTATGCAAACGGATGTGTATTTAGCATATCACACATCTGTCAATGCTGGAGCTGATTATGGTTATGATTATGATTATAACATCATAAACATTGGGCTGTCTGTTATCATAACAAAGGGAAAAACGCACATGTGAAATGTAAATTAACATAAGAATTAAACTCAATATCATAAAGATCATCCAATTATTGAAGAGTACATTTACATCTCTTTTATAGCATGATGGATTAACTGTAGTCACCACTACATTGGCAGTGTAGATAATAAGGCCAGGAGTAGAGACTCACACATTCTAGCTGTCACGGGCCAGTTGAAAGAAATATTGATATTATTTGATAAGAGTCTGAAAAAGACATTTATTTATAGCTTTTAAAGAGAGGCTCACAGATGGCTTCCAAGCAACGGTGGCTCATGGAACAGAGTAATGTGTAACGGAGAGAGAAAAAAAACAAGTGAATGGTGACAGATACATAGAGGCTCTCACCGTGTGTGTGTAACCCCCCTAAAAAACAAACATCTCCTGATATGGAAATGTTTTATAACATTGTCTTTGTTCATTTACAGTCACAAGATCTCCACACTGATTACTGCTTTCAGACTAATGATTAAATGGCAAAGTGAATAAAGATGTGGGTTTGTTTTAAAACATTAGGAGAAAGCACGTAACTGACTTCAGATTGAATTGTGAGACATTCACTTGTAGATCATTGAGTTAAGCTGAAAGTCAAGTTGGGTGTTTTACAGTTTAAAGCTCTAATCGTTATATCTCTTCTAATCACACAATCCCTGTCTGTATTTTAGGGTCAAGTTCCATTGAAACTGGCATAAACACATACTCCATTGTGTGTTCCTCTCGTATATATTATCTTTCATTTGTTTGCAAGTGAACAACAAAGTCAATAAACTATTGCCTCTTCTACGTTTAGACCAGGGGTATCAAACTCAACTTCACTGCGGGCCACATTAGCATTATGTTTGCACTCAAAGGGCCGGTTGTAACTTTAACACTATATAAATATACATATATAAATATATAATATATATAAAATAATGTATTATATTACATTATTGGCTCTTCATTGGATTATTATCAGTTCTGGTAATAACTTCATAAATAACTACGTCTGTAAGTCTAGGGCAAGTCATTGAGAGCAAATATTGATTACACCAATTGTATTGTATATTATATTCTTTGGTAGCTCTTGCGGGCCACGTAAAATGAGGTCACGGGCCGGTTTTGGCCCGCGGGCCTTGAGTTTGACACCCCTGGTTTAGACCTATTCAAATCAAAAAACAACAACCGATTGCACATGTTTACTCATTTTCCTGAAAAGCCAGATGATTGAATTCATTCTCAGACTCTATGCAGTGACCTCAAGCTATTTCTTACTGAGATATCTGAGTTTCCTCGATCATACTGCTTAGTTGTTTTTCCTAAGCGGAAAGATCCACAAATTCTGCGGTTTTTGAAGCTTGATTACTGCAGAGGGAAATTCCTTTTTTACTAGTGGGGAGTCTGGCAGGGACGCTGGAAGCTGCTGCAGTGCTCACAGGTTATACTGCCCACCTACTGTAGGGTCATTCATCTTCTTGTTCCCCCCAACAAAGGGACACAATAATCACCATACAGTGGGCTCATTAAAAACACATTGTTCCGCTCATCCTCTGCCACGGCAAGCTCTGTTCAATCCTGAAAGGAGAGCGTAACATCACTCAGCCTCTGAAAAGGTGCTTTGTAGAGCAAACAATACCGACTCAAAGTGAACGCATTGCAATTGTGTTACTGCTCCTTTTCTATGTGTGTGCTTTGATTGCATTGCCCAAACCGTAATGTGTTTGTCACCAAATAATTAACCGGGATAAAGCTGCAGGGATTGGTTGCCTGAGTAAATGGATGAATGCAACCTAGTGTGAATCTCAAGCTGATCTCCAAACAGCAGACAAGCGCTGTGGTCTTTCTCTGGTCTCAGCGCTCTGCGACAACAGCAGCCGGGCAGCCAGGACTTCTGCAGGCTCAGGAGTTTACCTAATTATCTGGCATTAAGTCTAAATGGAAGGCTTCCCTCTATCATCCCGCGCCACATGGCCACAACGGGGATAAGCCTGAGTCTTACACACCATTAGGCTTTACAGGCACTTGACCTGAGGACCAGGGCACTGACACAGAAAGTGAGGCTTTGGGGCCAAGCCCTGACCGGGGCGCTAACAATACATTACGCTCAAATCAGTGTTGTATAAAAATAATATTTATTCACAAGCTTCCTATAAATGAAACATCTTTGTCATAACAACACTTTGGTGCTAAGGTTAACAATTGCAACATATCATTAACCAAACAATACAGAAAGATATTTGCTGATTGTTTTTAGAAGAATTACCATGACTTGACAGGAATGGGTGTAGCCAAAACCAATGCCATGGCCACAGACAGTGGCAGATTGCTGAATGTTCCAGAGGTTGCTGTTATGAACATGAGCGGCTATTTAAATGTCCCCTCTGTGCGACGAATAAAGGTATTCTGATTCTGATTCTGAGGCTGGACACATAACCTGCCAACACCCACAGAGCACCCTTCTTATTCAGCTGTTTGGAATGTTCAGTGCTGACCTGATAAACAATGAAGCATTTTTGACACTGTTTGTTTATGGTTGTTGGAGCTGTCAGGTTGTCTCACCACACTCCAAGTGGTCTGAACAATGACTGTGCTGATGGTAATGCTGGCAATTTCCCTGTTTTTTTGCAGGTCACTGCCAGGGGATTCGCTCCATTGTTGCAGTTTGCCTACACTGCTAAGCTGTTACTCAGCAGAGAAAACATCCAGGAGGTCATCCGCTGTGCCGAATTCCTGCGCATGCACAACCTGGAGGACTCATGCTTTCGCTTCCTGGAAGCACAGCTGCGCCGCGAGGAGGACGGCTTGCTGCTCTGCCACAAGGTGGCGGCAGCAGAAGTGAACAACTCACAGGATGAGAGCATGCAGTCTGAGGTGGAGAAACCCACCTCCCCGAAGGCACGACGGCGCGCCGAAGCCCTCACTTCCTTTGAACACCCTGACGAGGATCGGCTAGCGATGGCTATTCCCAGTAACTTCTCCGATGGCCGGCTGGACTTTGACAGGCACGGAGCGTCAGACCTGCCGCGATGCCCAAAGTACAGGAAATACCAGTGGGCCTGCAACAAGCACAATAATGACACATCCTCACACACCAGTACCTCAGGTTTTCCAAGCACATTAAAAGAGAGCAGCGTCAGCGGGGCACTGCCGGGTCAGGACAGGCTGCCTTTGGCACAGATCAAAGTTGAACCACAGGTAGACGAAGAGGCCATCTCATTGTGCCTGTCAGGGGATGAGCAGGGGGGCAGGGATAAGGACAGTGTGACGAGCATGGAGATGGATAACCCCATATCTGTGGAGAGAACCAAGAGAACCAAGTCCCCTTCCTGCCTCCGAGCCTTCTTCAAGAAAGGGGTGGACCTGCCCAACACTTCACAGCAGCTATTCACCAACAGACTTGTCTGTCCCCAGGACAAAGTAAACTCTCAGGGAGATCATAAAAATGACTTCAGGCCTTTCACTGGGGAGCTGGGTCTGCCTGTTACATCCCCAAAGGACGTTGACAGTTTCCCTGCAGGGTTGTCCCTCAAGTCCGCTTCCTGTGATGGGGTCTGCAAACAGGAAGTTGAGCTTGATCGCCGTAGTGTCATATTTTCCTCAGGGGCATGCAAACGTCTGGGAACCCCAGCACATTCCTACCCTGGTGGAAACTCTTTGGAGATGGAGCTCTCTGAGCACATGCCAAAGGGCCTGTGGGCCGGAGCCAGCCAGTCCCTCCCCACGTCGCAGACCTACTCTCCCAGCACCACCTCCAGCGACCCCCTACTCCTGTGCCGCCCGAGACCCAACACCAGCTGCCCAGTGCCAATCAAAGTGTGCCCGCGCTCACCGCCTTGTGAAACACGCACCAGGACTTCCAGCTCCTGCTCCTCGTACTCCTATGCAGAGGACGGCAGCGGGGGCTCTCCCTGCAGCCTGCCCCAGTTTGAGTTCTCCTCCTCTCCGTGCTCCAACGTGGCACGCTGCCTCAATGTGGACCAGCAGGAGCAAAGTGTGGGCGGGGAGGCCCTTTTTAACCAGGTGCGGCCTAAGATCAAATGCGAGCAGTCCTACGGCACCAACTCCAGCGACGAGTCGGGCTCCTTCTCAGAGGGAGACAGCGAGTCCTGCCATGTGCAGGAGCCAGGGCCAGAGGTGAGTGTGAAACATTGTCATTCTCTTGTAACACACAATGTAGCCATTACACTCAATCCCACCATGGCTAATTACATCGCAGTGCCCTGCTCTCCAGGTCTGCATTAGCAGTCATTAAATCATCATGTAATTGAAGCAGGGGTGTTCAGTACAAGATTTACAGCATCACCAAAGGGCACAGATGTGCTTTGATATTATTAATCTGCTTTATGCACTGCTGGAGATCTGTGTAATGAGTCTGAATGTGTGAGCCCAAATGCACTAGGATAGTCAAAATGCAGGAGGCTGTGGTGCTGTTTTTTTCAAGACTTTGATTAGTTCATCATCTACGCTGGGAGTAATGTGAATGTGTGAAAAGCACTGCATGCGTTTGAAGGCTCAGGATTCTCCCAGGGTACAGCTGCCCTCTGAAGTTATTCCCTCGGGCTCTGTCTGTCTCCCTGCCACTGCCAACTACCCTAACTAGCTCATTTTATCCCAGCAGAAACACTGACATCTATAATCCGGCCCTATAAATATGCATATGCTAATTCTAGCATGCTTGTCAGACATTCTGACATTTCTGATCTATCGACCATTAGCAGTGATACCCTGCCGCAGTGAAGTTGTGCAGCCGTCACAAAGGGATTACAACCAATACATTACAGCAGCGCTGTGTATGGCCATAAAGTGTTAATGGTGTGCGGTTGCAGTGAGTGGGCGAGAGGTTGAGCTCCGTCTCATGGCGGCGCAGCTCCACAGTGCTGACAAGGATGAACAGCCAATCCTCTAATCATCCTCCCCTAATCCACCTGGGCAGACGCCCTGCAGACTGTAGGCTGTTGTTGTTTACAGTGTAAAGATCAGTGAGGGAACCTCTGGCTCACAGATGGAGCTCAGTGCAGGTGTAATAATATCAAAATGAGCAGATTTCCCACCTGAGGGGAAGTGTAAGGCAAAATCAATTTACAAAGAATAGCTTTGCCTCCTCAGAGCGCTGCTGTTTACTCGCTTTAATGAGGCAAATTTCCATCTGGATTTCAGGCCTTGCTGTCACGTGAAAACCTTGTATCTCCAAATGGACTCTTTAATTGTATATGGAGGTTGAGAAGGAGCTTTCTTTGTTTCCCTGGTTGAGATTTGTTTGTTTTTTCACAATAGATGGTATATAGATCCAATCAGTTATGAGGTCTTCACTTGACTGTAGCATAGTCATGTCTGTGACATCACATCTTGGCTGTTGCAGAGCTTGAACTTGTGACCTTTTGGCTCCATGTTCCCAGGCTGTCTTACCTCTTGAGATTTTTCCATCAGTGATGTCAGAATCATTTGTGATGAGCTTGGTGGAAGAGGGCCGCTCTCAGTGCACAGAGGAAGCAGAACTGGAAGGAGAGAAGAGAAAGTGGTGCGTTGCCATGGTGATCACATTCACAGAGCAAGTCGGCATGTCGCAATGGTTGGAGCTACATGACAGGATTTAGCTTTTCCGTGGAAATAATTCAGTTCCGCTGCACAAACAGAGCTGCGAGATAAAGAGGCTCAGCAGTAATGCGTAATTATTACCTTCAGAGTGTGGCACACAACCACCGTCGCCATTCGATTTGTGGGCCTTTGGTAGGCCTGCTGAATGTGCCGCTGTAAATCATGTGGGATGGATATACAGGCGCTGAGCTATCAGCTGGGAGAGCAGCCCAAAAATGACTGGGAGACATTTCAGTTCTCTTTGTCATCTCTTTGTGTGGGTATGACTGTTTATATGTGTATGTGTCAGCCATTGTTGCCGCTCCATTACTCCACTATATCCTCTGTCAAATCTCTATTGGCTTACGCAGGGTTGTCTGCCAGCTTTACACTCACTATCAGAGCTGTTGATAAGATCCTTCATGAGTGTTTCACTGCTCCACAGTTTATTGCACCGGAGTGAAAGCGGAGGTCACAGAGAAGTACTTCCAAAGTGAAGCTCAGTGTTAGGTTACTCTCCCTTGGCCTTTAAGTGCTAAAGAAGTGCTCCCTCATGCTTCCTTGGCCGCTTGTTTTCCTAACACCCCCTCGATGTAATCCTGCCGTTCAAACAAACATGAGCAAATGGCAGACGGGGAAAGCAGCTTCGATAAAACATAGCTTCAGCTCTGGACTGTGGACTTGACACAGTGGATCCAAATGAGGAAGGAAGTTGTTAAAGAGCAGGGCAGTCTGACCGAAGCCCAGTCATTCAAGGTAGCTGGAGTCACTTCAGGTCTCTGGGCAGCTTCTGCTCTGTGGTTATGGGCTGTTGCCTTCATATGGGCCACATCTGAGAACTATCAGCAGCTTCATTCTGTAGACAGAGCAGTCTCCTGCAAAGAGAAACGAAGCAACCTTTGAGTAAAAATGGAAGAAAAGTTGGACTGAATGTTGCTCCCAAGTGTGTGGCTCTGTGAGGGGATGCATTGATGGCTCCTTGTTTTAACAGCAGTCATGTAGATTGCTGACCTACCTCCTACGCAACAGCAGTTATGGAATTAACTCTTAAAATATTTATAACAAGTAATGAGTGGGGAAATGGAAATTCATTTGACTTTTCGAGCATTAATCAAGGGGTGAGATTTAAATTAAACATTCAAAAAAAGATACAAATGATGTATTTTGTCTGGATTTGTAGGCTACAAGCTATAGAGTTAGAGTTGTGTACGGTATATTAATAATGGATACAAATAAGATTGGGTTGATAGTATTGTTTATTGGTTGGTATCAGGATTATGTAGCTACAGATATTGTTATCTATCATTTGACACAATGCTACAGCCTTTAGTGCTACAGTATAACAAGTAGCTTTTCGTGGATAGCTAATGCTAGCAAACTGTAGATGCATATTGCTGTGAAATGAATGGCATCACTGCCTCATCACTCACGCCTTTTATTGCTCATCAGTGCACTAGGAGTGTTGTCACTATACAGCTGCACTTGGTTTGGTACAATAGGCTATGGTTGCTAATGTTACCAGACTTCAGAAATAAATCAGTGTGTAACAGACACCACAGAGTCAGTACACTAACTTAATGGCTCCTGCACTTGTAGTACTTTTGCTACATTTGTAGTTCAGAGTGTGTCCCTCCCTCTGTCTCTCGGAGCTCCACAGCTCCTGGTGCAGCGGAAGCGTTGAGCTCACTCTAGCGTCTCGTCTGGCCACAGCGGTGGAAATATTGATCTCAGAGCGAGAGGGAGGAATGAGGAAGTAGTCCTGATTCATCAGCACATTGTGGGTTTTTTAGCAGGCAAAACATGAAATAGAGTAATGTTTGACAGGAAGTGCAGACCTTGATATCAGTTCTGCAAACATTGCACAATGCCAAAGGACCTTTGCTCTACTCTACATATGATGTAGCATGTAAGTTCATAATGTTGTTCAGTCATGTCAAATAGTAATGTGCCTTTCTCAAATGATTTGCCCCTTATACTACAAGCACTCATTTTGTAAGCAATATAAGAACAACTTTTAGTATCACCATGAAAAGAAATGTCTCTAAATATAGGAAATATTATTTGTAAGTATAGTTAATAAAAACACATGGCATCAAATATGTGACGATAAGTGAAAGTAGATTTGCGTTCAGTAGCTATTAAAGACAAGAGCAAGGGAGTGCAGAAGGAGAATGATCCAAACACTAAAGTTTGCCCATTCATTTCTAAAATATGTATTTAAGTGCATTACATATTATAATGTACTTAACACAAAAGGCCTTACTTGTTCCAATTGAGCAAGAGGAGTTCTGTTTACCCAAGCATTTCACTTTGAAATCTATATGTATCTGTTTTTCCTTTTTAAATAGCTCAATGCATCTAAAAAGGAAATGAGATGCAGTTACCCCCCCGCCCCCCCCCCCCCCCCCCCCCCCCCAAACCACCCCTGGAGCTTACGCTATGGGGAGCGGGACAAATATAGAGACCAACAGTGGAGATATTTTGGCGCTCTTATTTGAGAAGAGGAGAGTGTGTTTGGTGTGAAACTCCACGGGATACTCAGCATTCTGTACAGTATGTGGGCCCCCAGGGCCAACTGGGGCACAGAAACTGTGTGATGTTGACTACGTCACCACAGCTCGGCAGCTTGTACTGTGGTATTAGCATTTCCAGAAATCACTAATCAAACAGTGAGTCAAATTCGTTGTGTTTGACACTTCTCTCTCGTTAAATACACATTTCTTCTACTGCAAATGCTGCTGTTGGTCAAATTAGAAGCATTAGTTGATTTTTCTATTGAAATCTCTACATGACACTCAATGCTTCTTACATAAATAAAGCCTTGTATGAACCTATTACAGGTTGATGTTATTCATGATGACATTCTTTAGCAAGAGAGCAGTCATTTATTTATCTGAAGACGCTGCAGATTATGAGTTTAACCCCCAGGACAAGACAGCTAGCAAACCTCTCCAGTCTATGATCTGATTTAGGGTTTGTTTGAGTGTGTGTTTTTACATGACATGTCACTTGTTAGACGCTTTTATCCAAAGCGACTTACATACTCAATACTGTGGGCAATCCCCACAGGAGCCATTTGGGGTGACACAACGACATGCAGTGGGGTTTGAACCTGTGCCCCCCTGATCCGAACACCAACGCACAACCCACTGCACCACACGCCCCCCTTCTTCTTCATAATCCCATTTACAAGCATGTGATATGTAACATGGTTCATTACAGAGATGGCATGAAACACAAATGTGTGAAATTGTAAACCTCATATAACACGATAAGATCTCATTTCAGTTTGGAAGAGATAAGGACACGTTTTACTCAGACCCAACTGTGTCAGCAGCTAATCGATGCTGCTTAACCAGTCCAGACATCTACAATTAGAAGTTGATTTTAAGCTAAAAATATGACAGGATTTGATAAAAAAAAGACACAACCAACTCTTCCAAAGACCACTGATAAAACACTGTTTCTAATGTGTAAAACATTCATAAACAGTTCAGTCAGAAAGTAAGACTGTAATAAACCAGAACACACATAATATCTGACGGACAGAATTCTTTAGTTACATAAATAGTATTTAGCCAGAATTTGAGACGCACAAACATTGATTCTTTCCTATAGTTCAAAGGGGGGGTTGATTTCAGATTAGCCCTACTTTTGGCTCTGTACCCCATTTGTACAAAATGACCCAGAGAGAAAGAGTGACTGAGGGTTGGAAGAAGAACTGTATGTAATTCCAGGACAGTTTGGAGTGAATTCATGACCAGTGTTGAAGCAGACTTATATCAGGCGCTGCACTGGACCTCGTGGTAAAGCGGCTTAATGTAGTCGTCCCCTGTGTACCGGTGACTGGTGGAGGAAGAGGAGAAAGAAACCACCACAAGGTCGCAGCGTCTCCTTCTAGTATGTTATGGCCTGGTTTCGCCAAAGGTCCCCTCAGAGGGACAGCTCTCAGGTCTGAGCATTATGGGGCACCAGCTACCTGCTCACCAACACAGTCATCTTCTCCTCTGCTTTACATGACGCTGGCAGCCTGTCCTGATGTTTGAAAGCCTTCCCTGCTCCTGTCTTTGAGCCTGGAGCTGTCATTGTCCTGGCAAAGTAGTGAGAGCCGATGTGGCCTTGAAAGCTCGGGTCATTATTTATTCATTTGTCTGCATGCAGATGTCGGGCTGAGATGAGACGCGGGGCTCCTGGCGGCTCACAGGGCTGCACTTCTAATGAGGGAACTCAATACATTTTCTCTCCCAGGGATAGATTGACATCTAGGTCTGCTCTTCAATGAGGAGCAATGTCAATTCTGTCATGAGTAGGCACCTTGCTTCATCCCCTTGGTGCGACGCCTATACCAGGTGATACTTCAGCATCTGTGTGGCATCTGGTGGAGAAACAGAGCCGAGCCCCCTCTGCTGCAGCCTCTGCATGTATACTGAAAATAAAAAACATTGACTTTAATTAAATGTATTATGTCAACAGATTTTACATAATTAGGTTAGTTGAAACCAATTTTAAATAGGTTCAACTTATCATTATTGCTTCCAACTAACCTAATACAGTTATGTGAAATATGTTGACATAATACATTTCATTCAAGTCAATGTTTCAGTTTTTTGTGGTCATGTGAGCAGGTAAAAGTCTACAGGGAGGATCTGCCCCGGCCCAAGCAGCCAGGTACTATGGGAGTGCTTCCTCTTCCTCCTCTCTTCCTCCTTTGTTTGACTTCCTGTGCTCCTGAGAGGCAGCCACAGGGAAAGGGAAAGCGAGAGCAGAACGCTGAGCAGCTCCTCTCATCTCTGCCAGGCTCTCCGGCTGTCTTCCTCTGGCTCTTTGTTAAGCCTGCTCTGCTCCTCTGGCTGCCTGCAGCTACACATCCCTGGTGCTCACAGATACCGCTGGGATGGATGTGCCTGTGATGTGCTTATCATAAGGTTTGCCATCACCTGAGGGAGAGAGGCAGACTCATTGTTGCTCTCCAAACTGAGAGAATCAACACAAACAGCCTTGATGTGCTGTCATATCAGTGAAGAAATACCACATGGATTTCTCATTTTCATTTGCGCTGCCAAATCACAGCTGCATTTATTCCACTAATTATGTTGTTCTGAGGTCTGCTGTTAGGTGCCGGTGTAGATATTCATGCTTGCAGAATTCACCTGACGCTGATTTGGATCAGTTTGACAAGTCACTGCCCCCTCAATCTGTCGCACTGGCACGTTTCCAGGTGCGGCGGGACAGATGGGGAGGGACTTTTCTCTTGGAGCACCTTTTCCCCTCTGCTGCAGAGTGCTACATGTTTAGTTTAAGGCGGAGAGCGCGTCCTGCTCTGTGAGGCCTGTGCAGCAGTACTCTCATGCCACCTAGTGGTCAAGTGTAGTAACCGTCAGACAGTGAGAGCACAATGATGCATTGACTCACCTGGGTCACACTCAGTGGTGTAAAGTAACTAAGTACTGTTCTTCAGTACAATTTTTAGGGATTTGTACTTGAGTATTTTCATTTTGTGCTACTTTGTACTTCTACTCCATTACAATTCAGAGGTATATTTTGTACTTTTACTCCACTATATGTAATACATTTAGTTAGACCTGGATTACATTCATATGCTACCCAGCAGTAAATAAAGTACTATAAAAACTTTTATCAGCTTTGATAAAACTTTAATGATCAATAATTATTAAACATATCATATATATTATTCTGAAATGCACAATGACTACTTTTACTTTTGGTACTTTAAGTATATTTTGATGCTAATACTTTTCTACTTTTACTTGAGTAACCTTTTGATTGCAGGACTTTTACTTGTAACAGAGTATATTTCTACACTCTGGTACTTCTACTTTTACTTAAGTACACGATCTGAGTAATACAATTGGGGTATGAATGATTTGAAAGTGATTTTGGCTCCAAAGTATGGAGTCCAATGTAAAGTTATCATAATGTTGCAGTGTTGGGCAAGGCCCCAAATTGCTCCATGTCTATGGTGTTGAAGTGAGAAAGTGTCTCTGTTTGCCCCTCCGACAACAACAACAACACTTGACATACACAGTTGTCTTTAAGCCCATATCTGGAGAAAAACGACATTCTGTTCTGTTCTAAAGATTTTGGGTCTGAAAAAGTATTCAAATATTAGAAACCAATCTTTAAACCCACCAAATGAAATATTTTTGTTTTGTATAATGCAACCTCCTCCTCCCATCCCAAATACACTGCCAGTTAAACAACCGGGGGGGGTTTTCAAAGTCAAAGTAAACAAAAAGAATAGTGGAGCCCACACATTTCAGTTCTCTCTGTTGGAGAGTGTTTGAGTGACTTCTGCCTCACTATCCTGTGGGCTTTGTTGTTTCAGAGCATCCTCTTACATCCCATTTAAAGGTTGGCAAATGTCTTATCATGAAATGAGAAAATGCATTCTTAATGTTATTAATCAAATATTTATTGCGTTCATAAATGTGTTAATGGATGAAACACTGCCATTTGTCTGTAATGATCCTAGCGGCACATTTCAGACTGCATCAAAGAAAGATGAACTTTGTATTTTGTACGTTATGGACAACTTCCGTCCAACCTTATTGATGCTCAATAAATACAAAATAAAAATGGTATGCATAATGTCTGTTCTTTCTCGTTCTCTTCAGGTAAAGCTGCCTTTCCCTGTAGATCAAATCACAAATCTTCCACGGAACGACTTCCAAATGTTGGTGAAAATGCACAAACTGACCTCGGAGCAGCTGGAGTTTATCCATGACGTGAGGCGGCGGAGTAAGAATCGCATCGCGGCTCAGCGCTGCCGCAAGAGGAAGCTCGACTGCATCATGAACCTGGAGTGTGAGATCAGAAAACTGGTGAGTCATCAGTTTCCACCTCACTGTCACTTCCTGTTATCTGTCCAGCTCATCAAACACCACGTCAATTACACCAACCAAGGAATGATGATGTGATGAAATACTATTCACTGATCTCAGATGGGTTCCATTCTCTCAGCTCTCTCACACCTTTAGTGTCCTCTGTGTGTGTGGGGAGGGGGACACATGCAAGATGGTAGGGTTGATCATTCATAGAAATTCATGTTTTAGAGTAAAGATGATTGGGTTTATTAGGAGAGGGTGTGACTGACCTATGACAGTGAAAGCATGTATGTTGACTAAAGATAATCATGCCAATCACAAGATATCAAGAAGAATACAAAAAGAGGACGAGTAAGTGTTTTCAGTACCGTTTTGAAAGACAATAAAAAACTGTTGAATCCTGTTGATAGCTCCAGCGGGTCAGAAAACCTTTATATGAGTCGTTTTGAAAGACACTGACATAATGAGTTATGTTGAAGAGAAAATGCAGATGTTAGTATGTGTTGGTGGGTTTTTGTTTAGAGGGAAAGCACTTAAGAGATATTATTTTGGAGGTTCTGCCCAAAAACCAAAGCACATAAACTCATGCTAATAGGGTTCTTCCTGAATGAACTAAACCCTATTGTACAAATCCCAACTGTGTGTGTGCAGGTGTGTGAGAAGGAGAAGCTGCTGACGGAGAGGAACCAGCTGAAGGCGTGTATGGGGGAGCTGTGGGAGAACTTCTCCTGCCTGTCCCAGGAGGTGTGCCGCGACGTGCAGCTGAGCCCTGAGCAGGTCCAGTCTCTCAACCACTACTGCCCCGTGCTGCGGCCCGCCAACTCCACCGACACCCCCCCCAACACCACCAGCATCGACCTCACCACCCACTCTGGCTCTGCCACGCCGGAGCCCAGCTTCCACGGATCGCCCGGGGCGGCAGATAGCGAGCCCGACTCGGCGGTCAGAAACGGGCCGGACAGAGAAACAGACAGCCAGGACGCCGGCCTGTACGATGAGTCAGGGCTGGTCAAATCCAACCAGGCGGTAACGGTGGATTTCTGCCAGGAAATGACTGACAAATGTACAACTGATGAGCAGCCGAGGAAGGACTGCGCTAATTAGTGGTGGTTCTCTGTGTTGTTGATTTTGATGTTTTTTTAATTATTTAATTTTACTCTTCTGACAAACCCACTCTCAGGGTTGCTGAGACAGTCAGCCTCTGCCAGTGTTCACTGAAAAACAAGCTTTGTTTGTATTTATGTATTTTTGTGCTGTTTTCTTTTTGTTTTTTGAACGGTTGACACTAAAGTTGTCTTAACAGCAGCAATACTGTTCTCCAGGTATTCTCCTCTTACCACAGAGTGGGAACTTCTCACCAAACATTACAACGGTGCTATCCTCGCCCAACAGCAACCTCTACAGTGGGGACTCGCCCCCCCCACGTGTCACTCATCACAAGTCAAAGTGGAACCTCATCGGACCTAAACAGCAGCTCTCTGTGTCTCTCTGTTCCTGTCTTCCTCTTTCTCTGTCTCCCACTCTGTCTCTATCAATCTTCTCTACCTCTTTCTGTCTCACTTTTCTTTCTCTCTGTCTGTCTGTGGTTCGTCTCTCACTATATCTCAGTGGCCCTTTTTGTCACAGCAATTCAAACTCAGGAAAAAAAAGAATCCTCTGAATGTTCAACCGAATTCATGAAAAAATGAGAATGCAGCTTCTGTACACGGGGAGTTAAGATGCAGTTGACTTTTTAAAATGTTCATATGCAAATATGTCTTTGAGCGTCTGGCATTTGTAATTCTGTACAGGAGAACTGTGTGCAGGCTGTAACCGAAAACATTCCTCCTTTGCCTTCCTCAGCACTGAATTGAAAGGAAAACGTTTTTTGCAGGCGGTTAGATGGCTATTTCTATTTCCCACTCATCAGCAATACCATTGTATTTGGATGTTGTAACGGTGACTTTCAAGTGCTTGTTTGGCAGAAATGTACATAGTATGGAGCATGATGACTGTAATAGTGATTTTGTACTGGTAGAGGCTTAGACGTTTCTTTTTCACGGGGTTATATCAAGCACCTTTTGCTAAGGGAAAATCTTTGCTTTGCTGTTTCCTGTCCTGCCTAACGAATGCTCCCTATCACGGTGAGCGTTCCTATACTCAGGAAATCAGCTCCACATGAAGACACACACATGCAGTACATACAGACACATGCGTCAAAACACATGTACAATTTTTAGCCCCATGCATGTATAAAAGTTAGACATTCAAGTTGTGTTTTATGCGAGGCTCTTCCCCCTTTTCCTCTTTAAATGTGAAAAAAGAGTTCTGTCTTGCGTTGTTTGGAGGACATTTTATTATCAGTATTTTAAGATGCTCTCGCAGACGTGTTTTGGGCTTATTCGATATTGCCGTTAGATGTTAGGAGACAGCAAAAAGTGAAGCCAACAAATAAGTGACAGATACTAAAAAAGAATTTGAATTGATCCTGAGAAAGAGAAAAAGATTGACTTCAGTCAGGCACTTTGTTTTGGCCCCAAGCGCTCAGAGCCATTTAGCACTTCAATAAGGTCTTTGTCTTTGTGTCAGACCTCCTCAAAGTCTCAGACTGGAGCACTTAAACTTCAAGAGGAAACATCTTGTTTATATAAATATACAATAAAAATATCTTTATGAAGAAAATGTATCCGAAAGCTAAAAAGAAGCTAATGTTTTAGACCTTATATTTGTATTTCTTTAGGAATTGAATAAGCTAATTCAAATTGTATTCTACGTGAAAGCAGTGTGTTGATTGAGTAACAATCATATAAGATAGTAACACGTTTGCCCTAATTGTGCATTTGTTTGACCATCCTCATTTGTGATGTGCATGCATGCTGCCTAGCTTTAGGCCTAGTTAGTTTGTCTTCTTCTGTTTACCTTCTCTGAAGCAGTCTGCTTTTAAACTGATATCTTTTTGAAATGTCTATGTATAAAAAGGCAGAAAGAGTTGATATTAACCCTAACTAGAGGAGGCTTTCAGAGCCGTACTCTAGCACAAGGTTGAATTCAAATGGTATTTAAAAGTGTATTCATTGCTCTTTAAAGCCCCAATCCAAAGAGACTATCCCTGAGTTCACTGGAGCTAATGTAGCTTGTAGTGAAGCTAATGTTTCATTAGCTTCACTACATCAATGTAATCTCTCATTGAGTATCCTTACTCTAAAGAATATTCTCTTCGATAAAAAAAATTCTACTTAAACTGACTTTGTAGTATTTATTAGATTGAAATCTTATAGCCATGTATGGCAGGTCAAACTAAGATGCTAGATATGTGCTACCAGGATAGCCTGTAGCAGCTAGCTACACCACCTACTCCCCCATCCAACTCAGGGTGATTTGTTCTTACTTGAAATAAACCGAGAAACAGTTTTTATAGTAATCCCTGCAAAATATTATTTTTTCTGGCCAAACAAGTCTGGGATTTGGGCTTTAAAATGTGAATGAAAGGTTTAAAAGTTCTCCCCCTGATTTTAAATAATTATAGATGTATAAGAAATGTCTCAGGTGAGACTGTTTTTTATACAGCCAAACAATTAAGTGTATTTTATAAAACCGTCTTACAAAGTTGGGATACAAAGACCCAAACACACACACACACACACACACACTCACACACACACACACACACACACACACACACACACACACACACACACACACACACACACACACACACTCATACACAGCAGTAGAGGACCTTCATCCGCTGGTGTGTTTTTTTTGTGTTTGTTCAGCCCTTTATCAAATGTGTGCTCTTCTTCATTCTTGTATGCATATGTCCTGCAGCAACACAGTATCTACCCACAGAGATTGTACCAGGTTCCAGGCAGAAAGCTAAACATTACAGACGCTTATTTTCTGCAAACATTTTGCAACTCGCTTTTTATTCATGTACTTTTTCATCTGCCTAATCTTAAATTGAGGAGGCCCGGTGTTGCATTTGCGAGCGTCGACTCTGACTTTATGTCTCTGTGTGGAGAAAATTAATTTGTGAAGTTTGTGTTGTAGCAAAACTATTGTAACAAAGGCCCCTGGGTGTCTCCTCACACATTAATAATACAACAATGATCACATCCTTTTTTTTGCATAGCAGAACTTCTACCTATTGAATGTTGATAATTCAACGTAGCAAACCTTAGAATCCCGTGGAGCTCGGGTGATTCAGTGCTCGGTCAAAGTGCAGTAACAGGCATCCTCTGCAACATGTCAACTCGTATTTAAATGGTCCATTCAAGTTACAAAAACAAATGATCACTTACTGTATGTCTTGTAGACACTGGTCACGCAGATAGATCTGGTTTTATTGGTTCATGTTTTGGGATATCTGTCTCTTTACATTTTGCCTTTGTGGTGCTCACACCACTGAAGGAAGTACTCTCCTATTACTCTGAATGCTGTGAACAGTATTTTTTCAGAGAATGCCAAAACGTTGGTGAATAAAACCATAACTATAGGCCTTGCTAGTTACTGATAGATGTGAGTGACAAAATGTTTCTTGTCATTTGGGTGAACCGACCCTTTAATGTCTCAGGTGCCAAGCATTTAACCCGCTCTCACATCACTCTGAAGTACTTACTTTTTCAAATCAAATGAATGCCCCTTTTAAATGATTTGTTAAAATGACTTAAAGCTGCATCAATTCATTTCTAACCTTCACAACGAGCAAAGAAAGCAACATTATGATTCATTTGGAGTTGTGTGCATGTCACCATATGAATGGAGTTGATATGGTTGACCCTCTTTTAGCTCATTGTTCCTGATCTCCACCAACTCATGAGAATTCACCAGCTAACTGACTTTGTATCCGAGCCATTCGGTTCAATGAAAGCAGCACGAAAGTCTCTTTTTTGGTTTAGAACATCTGCCTGCTTCTGGAAACAATATGAAGTGATAGCAGAATGGGCTGTTGAAAAGTAGTGTTGGTGATCATATTTTTGCTAAATGTTTAGCAACCTCATACACAATGTTCTTTTGATCAATTTTTCGTATAAGAAATATTGGTGCAGCTTTAAAATGATATAATAATAAGCTTGAACAACTCAAATAACTCTCAGAATTTGATACTTATGGAATCCTCCAGGTTCAATTGTTGTTTGTGTCTATTACAGCAAACTGGCTCCAACTGCTCCTACCTTGTTGCTGTGTATTTCTCTTGTTTAATTGAACTTTTGTGTTGCTGCTTCTCTGAAACAAACACTGGCTTTTCTACTCCAAAGGTTGTTCTATCAAATAATATGAACAAAAACATGCCTTTCTCACACATTGCTCAACCTTTCTTGAAAAAACAACAAAACAAATCTGGTATCCTGGTTAAATGCGCAGGCTGAGATCATTGAGTAAAATATACAAATGCAAAATGTTTACAATTGCCATGCAAAAATGGCTCGGTTTCATTGGACTGGTTCTTGGTGTCGTGGAAAGAGACAAAGTTTCCTCAACCTTGTCTTTATTCCAACTTTTGGGATGGCTCAGCATTACATGGATACAAGTGCACCTCCGACATTTGCCTTAGAACTTGCAAAGGCCATAGTTCACATTCAAGTGAAGTGAGTGAATGCAGGGGCCCGGCCCCCATCCCTGAGTCACCAGTGCAGACTTCCTCACACTTATCTACCTGTGAAATCCTTCATACCTCTCATAACTGGTCAATGACTGTATCAGCAAACCGCATCAGGTGTTTTTCTACATGCTTTTTACACAGATTACATGGATTATTGTATTAGTAGATTTTGGTGCATCATTTTTTATGTAATAGCTCTTAAGCTTGTAGTTCAAGTTGTTTTTTTGTTTTCATTTTTCGAGATGACTGTTTTGTGTTAATAATTGTCCATTTGAAATAGCTGTTATTTCTCACTCTACTAAGAGTTCTTACCTTTATCATTTTGAAATGCTACATGACCCTAATTAATTAAAATGACTTAAAAACCATTGTAAATATGGTATTGTGCAAACCCCATTTTCATTCATTTCAATTGCTTGTGTTATATAAATGACTCTTTTGTCTAGACACCATTTCTCTTTATGAAATAAAGAAACATGCATATCATGATTTGTGTTTTGTGGGTGGTTTTGGAAAAATGAGACCAAATGTTGGTCAGTATTAAAGATGCATTCATTGATCTGACACACACACACACACGGTGCAACATTAGCATTCATCTGGAGTTGTGTTTCTGCACACTTGATGAATGTAATTGTAATGTTAGTTCTTCTTCCTATGGAAGCCCATCTACGGTGGTGGACAGGTGCAAGTGCGTTACATCGGCCCAAAACACTTCCACTTGAAGAAACATGCTGCGGTTTCAAAAACACTGTAAATATAAAAACACAAATGTGCCAAAATCAAAAATGATGAAACATCTTCCCCAAGGTGACAACACATGCTGCATTTAGAAAACATTCACCGACTTTACGAAACATGCGCATTGTTTACTTAAAGCACTGCATAAACAAAATGGCTTCAAGAGGCTCAAAACACAACAGAAACCAGGGGACACTAAAAAGTGACGCACACAGCTGGGACCGGAGTTGGCCAACTGTCACTGTTGGCAGAGCTGGTCTGTTTCAGAACTGTGAGTGTTTGTCAGTGCAGTTGAAATGTCTAGGTTGGTGAAGATGTTTCTTTATTTGCATGTTTTGGCACATTATTGTTCCTTCTCCTAATGGAAGAGTTTTTGGCTGTCGGAGCGCGTTGGCACCTGTTGGCCACCATACATTTCTCACTGTAAAAGAAAATAATATGATGAAAATTAAGTCATGGGATTGTCATTATAATCTCGTAATAAAAAATTAAAAAAGACTTAGTATATCAAAAATATTATCACTCAGACTAAACTATTTTGTTTATTAGAAGAAAAACAACAGGACATCGGAAACATTGTCAGATGTATTCATTAACAATTTGAGGCGACTCAGTTGAACAAAATGTTGAATTTGAAGAGCCCTTTTTTCCTGTGGGCCATGGGGTTTGATAAACAGCTGATAAGAGAGTTCCCTCTTCATTTGTGGCTGCCATTGCCACAATCTTAAATTACAATCTTCAGTCACATAGCCAATCTGTTCAACTCATTACATGAGATATTATGCTTTAAGCCAAATATACATTTGATTAAGCAAGTGGCTTGCAAATGATCAATATAAAAGTATCAGGTGCTGAAGATATCATTAGTATTGAACATTAAGAAAATGTTGAAGTGCTCTTTGGGGTCAGGATCCCTCGGTCGCTTTTGAACTTCTGTATGTCTCCAGCTGGGTCACAAAAACTGTGATTTTCAATCTACTTTTTCATGATTGAAGACAGCTCCAGAATCATGCTCTAAAAGAAAAAAGATGGTTGGGAAAAACATGGTTATTATCCAAATCACAGACGCTTGTTTTTCTGACCTCCAGTTAATAACTTTGAAACAGGTGGATACAGTTTGGCAAAAGAACATTTCAGCCAGGATCCTCAAGTGTACATTGTTTTTAAAACTCATTTGGGCCACATAACACTGAACAGCACCACTACCCTGCTCTAAATAGTATCATCTTTTTTTGAATGTACCTGCCCAAACTCTTTTTACCCAGCTGTTTTCACAGAAGAGAAAAAGGTATAAGAAATACTGTAAAACCACTTTTTGTATGTAAGTCATACATACAGAAAGATTTAGATCAGACTTGAATATATATATAAGCACCAGAATTGAGTTTTTCCATCTTGCCTCTTTCATAGGTTCTGCATGTTTTGGTGATTTAACATACTGATTTCATATATGTGTTGATCTCTTCTGAGCTCCTCTCTCAACTGTTTGAAGTGGGCGAAGCTGAATTAGAATGAATGTGACTTCCTTCCAATCACAATTTAGCAATATTTCAATTATATTATGTGAAAAAAACATACATTTTCATAATGTCCAAACATTTTTATAAGTATTAAAGTGACATAAGTAGTATTTTACTTATGTCACTTTTTTGAAATGCTGCTACTCATTTGTAGCCATTTGGCTCTGTACTTATGGCTGTGTATTTTATTACTGTGTGCTTTTCTTCTCTATATTTAATAAGTTAGCATACTCTTTATTATTGCAAGCCTGTTTTGACCTGCTAGTGCTATGCCACTTTTGCTGTAAAACATTTCCCCGCTGGACTAATGAAGGAGTTCTGATTCTGACAGAGCAGTGGAGAGCTGCAGTATGTTCCAGTGCTGTCCAGCAGGGGGCGACCTACTCCTGCTGACCCCCCAACTCAGTGTCACTGACAAGTGCTGACAACGCTACATATACTTTTACTCCATTACATTTTTGAGGAAAATATTATACTATTTACTCCACTTAATTGATTTAACATGAATAGTTACTATACTTTGTACATATAAAATACATGATGATGCCTCTGATGCAGTAGGCTACTGTACTACCAATACTTTAAAATAACTTCAATTGACTCAAATTTAATTTTATATGAAATGTATTTGTTAATGATAAAAAGAACCATAATACTGATCTATTATACATGAAAAGAGCCATTCTGTATAAGGAGAACTTTTACTTGTGATACCTTTTGCTTATAATACTGCTGGAATTCTACTTACGTAAATAAATGTATTAATCAGATTCACTTGTAATGGAGTATTTTTAAATCATCTTATTTCTTTTACTTCAGTAAATAATCTGAATATTGATTCTGTCTCTGCTGAAGGCAGTCATAAATGAAATGGAATCACATTTGACGATGTTTTATAGTTCCTTTGTTTGATTTTCTTTTTTTAGGCATCTTGAAACTTCCATGAGTGAAACATACATTTTTAGTCTGGGGTTTAGTTGAGTTTTTCTACTGATTGTACTTCTTTATTCAAATGTCTTTCTAGGGAAGGCAGACAGTGTCCAAAATGTTAAGTGTTGAAAACCTTCCTTTGTAATAAAGCCTGTAGAGCTGGGTCCTGAGTCCTACACTTTATGGTATTTTATTTGATTGTTTTTGTTGTCATTTTACTGTCTTTTTATTGTACCTCATTCTCTTCATCTATTTCATTTGTATTTCACATTCTATTGTATATTTTATAATTCTCTGGTAAATGTAATGATCTTTTACACTGTCATCTATGTTGGTTCATCTGTAAAGCCAACAGCTTTGATTTGATTTGATTTATAGTCATACTTTTTATTCATATCAGGGCTCCACTGACACTTTGACTTTAATTAAATGTATTATATCAACAGATTTCACATAACTGTATTAGGTTAGATGAAAGCAATAATATTAAGTTCAACCTATGTAAACTTAATGTCTTTGAACTAACCTAATACTTTACTAATAATTAAACCTTAACAGTGCAGATACATAAACCATGTCTCTGCTCACCATAGACATCCTCCTCCCGCTGGCTGGGGGTGGGGGGGTCACTGCTGGGCTCTCCCCCTGGTTCAGGTGCTGGGCCTCCACGTCTGCCCCGCTCTGGGAGCCGGTGCTGTCCGACGTGGAGGCCAGCATGCCGTCCGACAGGTCCCGGGACATGAAGCTGCACTTCCTGGCTGTGGGGTAGTGGTCGCTCTCCGGAGAGTCGCTCATGTCACTGTACTCCTTACTCACTCTGCTCTGCTTCCTCTGGGCATTCCTCAGGGCGGCGGGGATCTCCATGTGTCCGGCCATCAGTGTGGGTCGGGGGCCGGCGTACTGGGGCCGGCCTGAGCCGTGCGCTTCATTGGACTCATCACTGCTGCAGGACGGCTTCCTGTTGTCCGCTGAGTGGCCCTTGGGCTGCTGCAGGTATGTGTGTGCAGGCTGGCTGTTGGAGCCCTCCTTATTGTGAGGGGTCGCAAGGGCCACACTCCCCCTTTGGGCATCAGAGCCAGCCGAGCAGGTCATCTGAGTGAGCTGCATCAGCCTCTGCGGAGAGGAGTTAGTGAGCACACACACCTGCTGCACCATGGAGTTCTTCTTAGACCGGCACACGCTCTCATCGTCTCCATATTTGTATCCATACAGGCTCTGTTTGATCTCCTTCACCCCCAGGTGGAAAATCTCCAGGAGGTTGAGGAACAAAGACACTCCAGCAATAACCAGCATGAAGATCATGAAAATGTTCTTCTCTGTTGGCCGGGACACAAAACAATCCACACTGTTGGGGCAGGGCAGCCGCTCACATTTGTACAAAGGGGATAGACCGATGCCGTACAGAGCACACTGACCGACAATGAAACCCACCTCCACCGCAGATCTGGTTAAGATATGGAAAACATATGTGCGGAGCAACGAGCCTCTCAGAGGAGCCTTCCTCACTTTCTTCTGTTCATCCAGCTTCCTGAGCTCTCGCTCGATCCTCTTATGGTCCTCCTGCTGGAAGGGGTCCGTGCTCTCCAGCGCAGCCTTCAGACAGGCTTTCTTCCTGTGCCTCTCCTTCTCCAGGGTCCTCAGACGGTACAAAGCATGCCCCATGTAGACCAGAGAGGGCGAGGACACGAAGATGATCTGCAGCACCCAGTAGCGGATGAGGGAGATGGGGAAGGCCTGGTCGTAGCAGACGTTCTTGCAGCCGGGTTGCTCCGTGTTGCAGACAAACTCGCTCTGCTCGTCGTCCCACACGTCCTCAGCCGCCACGCCGAGCACAAGCATGCGGAAAATGAAGAGGATGGTGAGCCAGATCTTCCCCACGATGGTGGAATGAATGTGGACTTCTTCTAAAATACTCCCTAATAAGTTCCAATCCCCCATCTTCTGTCATATTATTATTATCTGTTGATGAATACATTTAAGAAAGAGCAATTTTAAGGCTTTTCATTGCATTACATTTTCTACATTAGGCCTACATTTCCTTTGGCTGACGCTTTTATCCAAAGCAACTTACAATAAGTGAAAAACCATAAAGAATCAAAACAACAAGGAAAGTGCAGATATATTCACTTCAAGCAAGATCACCATATTAAGTTCTGGTGAATTAGTTACAAGGCCTAAATTAACCCTTTGTTTATTTTTTTAGAGTTAAATTGCCAAGGTACAATGGAAACAGATGGGTTTTCAGTTTGCGACTGGAGTTTCCGCTCTCTTGATATCAATGGGGAGCTCATTCAACCATTTAGGAGGCAGGAAAGCAAACAGGCGAAAAGTCAAAAAATATGTTTTACTTACATGTTTTCTAGGGTCCTTGTCTCACGTGCTTCAGCATCAAGCTATTATATAACAGCAGACTCCTTCGTGGAGACATCAGGGCTCATTTGTTGTCCCTTGGAAACGGAGGAGACCTCACTGAGCGCTGGAGCTGACACTGTTTCCATGCTGTTGCGAACTAGGACTCCGGTTTGAAGCCATTGATCCAGTGCAGCCCCCATCATGCCTTGAGGTTATTTCGCCCTGATACTTTTACCAGGACAGCACACTGAAAATAGCACCAACTGAAAAGTCAATACATCGACATGTACAATGTGTTCAATTCTCCTGCTTATAAATCGTGCACAAGTATGCTTTTAACCATGTCAACAGTTTGTGTTTGTTCATTTATTAACATGCACATAAGCAGCTCTATCAAGACATATTTATATCTGTGTCATAAACACAGATTTATGACATGGTGAAGGATAATGGTACAGATCAAATGTATTTCAAGGCAAGGCAAGGCAAGTTTATTTATATAGCACCTTTCAACACAAGGCAATTCAAAGTGCTTTACAAAAATGGAAGACATTAAGAAAATAGCATTTAAAATCAGTCATTAAAAAGAAAAGATAATAAAATAAACATTAAAAGAAAAAATACATGGATAAAAGTTACAGTGCAGTTTAAGATGTGAATAGTTCAATTAAAAGCAGCGGCAAAAAGAAAAGTCTTCAGCCTGGATTTAAAAGTAGTAAGAGTTGCAGCGGACCTGCAGGTTTCTGGGAGTTTGTTCCAGATATTTGGAGCATAATAACTGAATGCTGCTTCTCCATGTTTAGTTGTGACTCTGGGGACAGAAAGCTGACCAGTCCCTGAAGACCTGAGAGATCTGGATGGTTCATAATTTAGCAGTAGGTCAGACATGTATTTTGGGCCTAACCCATTCAGTGCTTTATAAACCAGCAACACTATTTTGAAATCTATTCTTTGACACACAGGAAGCCAGTGTAAGGACTTCAGAACAGGACTGATGTGATCCACTTTCTTAGTGTTAGTGAGGACTCGAGCAGCGGCGTTCTGAATTAGCTGCAGCTTTCTAATAGATTTTTTAGTGAGACCTGTGAAGACACCATTACAGTAGTCCAGTCTACTGAAGATAAAAGCATGGACAAGTTTTTCCAAATCCTGCTGTGACATTAGTCTTTTAATCCTAGATATGTTCTTTAGGTGATAGTAGGCTGATTTAGTAACTGTTTTAATGTGACTGTTGAAACTCAGGTCAGAGTCCATGACTACACCTAGATTTCTGGCTTTATCTGTTGTTTTGAACATTGCAGACTGAAGCTCAGCGCTAACTTTTATACGTTCTGCCTTGGCTCCAAAAACCATTACCTCAGTTTTATCTTTGTTTAATTGGAGAAAGTTCTGACACATCCAGTCATTGATTTGTTCAATGCACTTACTCAGTGTTTGAATTGGAGCATAATCTCCTGGTGAAATTGTTACGTAAATTTGTGTGTCATCCGCATAGCTATGGTAACTTATTTTGTTGTTTTTCATTATCTGAGCCAGTGGTAGCATGTAGATGTTAAAGAGAAGAGGCCCGAAGATGGAGCCTTGAGGTACCCCACATGTCATGTGTGTTAACTCAGATGTGTATTTACCTATAGAAACAAAGTTTTTTCTGTCCTTTAAGTAGGACTCAAACCAATTTAGAACTGTTGCCGAAAGTCCCACCCAGTTTTCTAGTCGGTCTAGTAATATGTTGTGGTCAACAGTGTCAAACGCAGCACTGAGATCTAATAATACTAACACTGAAGTTCTGCCACTGTCTGTGTTTAAGTGGATGTCATTGAAGACCTTTACAAGAGCAGTCTCAGTGCTGTGGTTTGGACGAACTCCTGACTGGAACACATCCAAACAGTTATTTAAATGCAAGAAGTTACTCAACTGTTGAAATACAACTTTTTCAATGATTTTACCTAGAAATGGCAGGTTTGATATTGGCCTGTAATTGTTCATTACTGAAGCATCTAGATTATTCTTTTTTAAGAGCGGTTTAATGACTGCAGTTTTCAGGGCCTGTGGAAAAATACCTGAGTGGAGAGACTTGTTTACTATATGAAGTAGATCTGAGGCCATGCAATGAAAAACATCTGAGAACAGAAACTAGTTTAAAAGTCCCCAGTCATTTAGTGTATCGAAGCTCTGACATATTTGAACAACAACTACTGCCTTGAGTACTTTTTAAAGAACAACACAAATAAAGACATGTATATTGTTTTCACCCTTTATAAGATGCAGAGCTGGGAAGTAGTGGAGTACAAATACTTTGTTACTTCAACCCTCTATGGCATACTGTTGGCCTCAGGCAACAAACCACTTTTTTGGACCTCACACTGGCCCTCTAAATATATATATATTCTTTAAATATACACAATGTCACCTGACATGCTGGTGTCCAATAAAATGAGGGAATGATATGGGTGTGGCATTTTGTCTGGGGGTGGAGCAGTCCTTTCTGCAAGCAAAGCTGCAGGGGACTCAGGGCCACCACTTGGTAAGATACATTTCACTTTTTAACATATTAGAAATGTACACAGCTTAAAATAAAAAATATATGCATGTGCATGAATATGTAAAGAAGTATATTTGATTGTTTAACCTGTTGAACCCCATCCGCCCGCTGGCGTGGGGGAAAACGCATCATCTGCAGGAAACAGCGTCTGATGGCTTAATATTTAATAAACTATGAATGTTTCATATCCATGTAACGGGAAGAAACTCAGCTAACTGATGATATGAACCATTTTTAGCAAAAAAAAACACAAATGCTAACGCCGTTAGCACAGAACTCACGGTATAACACCCTTATTACTTATCGTAAATGCAAATCCAACCCATCGATTAGCATCGTGAGATTACACAGATTCGATAGGTATCTGTATCATCACTCCATGATCAGAACTCGCGACATTAGACACAAAAACAGACATCACAACACGTGGCATTAGGTAGCAAACACGGCAATATGTCTTACCTTTGTTGTTGTCTCAATCAATCTCAATCTTTATTTATTTATATAGCACATTTAAAACAACCTTCAGTTGACCAAAGTGCTGTACAGGCAATAAATATTAAATAACACAATGGGAGTACAATAATAAAACAATAATTAAAAACATGAATAAAAGGACAATAGCTAGAAAAATATTTTTAAAAAAAACACATACAAATGTAAAAATGTAATGTTCAACTAGTATTAAAAGCCAGTGCAAAGAGGTGGGTTTTTAGCTGAGATTTAAAAAGTTCAATTGACTCAGCAGTCCGGATATGTACTGGGAGGCTGTTCCACAGTCTGGGAGCTGCAACACTGAAAGCCCTGTCACCTCGGGTCTTTTTCCTGCACCGAGGAACCACCAACATATTCTGCTGAGCTGATCGCAATGCTCTAGCTGGAGCATGGCGGTGCAACAACTCAGACAGGTAATGTGGTGCCAGTCCATGCAATGATTTAAAAACAACAAGTAAGTACTTGAACTGGATCCTGTAACTGACAGGAAGCCAATGAAGGTCTGCCAAAACGGGTGTGATGTGGTCATAACGTCTCTTCCCAGTAAGAAGGCGTGCAGCCGCATTTTGGACCAGCTGCAGACGACGGATCAAACACTTATCAACACCAATATACAGGGAGTTACAATAGTCTAAACGAGACGTTATAAATAGGTGGATTAGCTGTTCAAATTCCTTACTGGGAAGATAGGCCTTTACCTTCCCCAGAAGCCGCAGCTGGAAGAAGCTTGTCTTGACAACTGAGCTTATTTGTTTGTCGAATTTAAAACAGTTGTCAAAGATGACTCCAAGATTTCTGACAGAGGGACGGCTGTAGGAGGCTAAGGGGCCGAGTACACTATTAAAGCCATCCAGGAGTTCAGACTCTCCAAATATTATAATCTCTGTCTTGTTTTCATTGAGAGTCAAGAAGTTGATTTCCATCCATGATTGTATGTCTTTCAGACAGCTAAGCAAGGCAATCCTAGATTCCTTATTTGCTTTTATAGGCAGGTATACCTGCAGATCATCTGCAAAGCAATGGTAAGATATGTTATGCTTTTTAAAAATTGACCCCAGAGGTGGTAAATACAGACTGAACAAAATGGGGCCTATGATAGAGCCTTGAGGGACCCCATATGCTAGTGGGGCTGCAGCTGAAGAATACTGGCCAAGATGCACAGAAAAGGTCCTTTCTGACAGATAGGATTGAAACCATTTTAGGACATTACCTTTAATTCCAACACACAGTTCAAGGCGTGATAAAAGGATTTGGTGGTCAATGGTGTCAAAAGCAGCAGACAAATCTAAAAGCACAAGCACAGCAGAATTCCCAGAATCAGCAGTTAAAAGAAGATCATTCAAAACTCTTAGGAGAGCAGTTTCCGTACTGTGGCGTGATTTAAAACCAGACTGAAACTTTTCTGATATGCAGTTTAAAACAAGGTGCGACTGCAGTTGCGCTAACACCACTTTCTCTAGGACTTTAGACAGGAAGGGCAGCTTAGAAATAGGTCTAAAGTTGGAGAGAACAGAATGATCAAGGTTCTGTTTTTTGATAAGAGGCTGCA